TCGCTGTTGAAATACGTAGCGCAATAAAACAGTCAATATATCGGATTAGGGCCATAGGTTTATTTCATTTAAACGCAAATTAGAAGTTGTTCCATCCTTACTAATACCGAATTCAAATATACGGAAATTATAGCAAATATTGTGTTTGAAAAATTTGAGATAACACTGGGTTTTAAAATCCTTCATGAAAAGTGGGAGTACTTATTACATTTGTGTATACCCAGTGTTGATTTGTAAAGTTTGGCCCAGCGCGTTCATTTTATCACAGAGATTAACGGTCTGAATATATCAATATCTGATAACCCCAATTCAGTTCCGTAGATATAGTTGTTTACTCAGATCAATAGCTTTGTATGTACACCAGTAGCTGGGAGAAGTATTTCTGGATATTAATAAGAATTAGTGTTATCAGGTGAATGACACGATAACACAGTGTGACTTACATCTGTAGCATGGGCAGCTTACAATCTAAAACAATATCTACCTGTGATCTTACATCTATAGCATGGGCAGCTTACAATCTAAAACAATATCTACCTGTGATCAATCTAAAACACCAATTCTACCTGTTATCATACAGATCACAACACAGGTATGCTTACATGATTTACTTACAATAGCCTCTTAAGTCGTGTTCAAGAACAAAACTAAAAAGCAAGAACGTAATATTACTAGAAATGAAATTAACTTAAAAGGAACGTCATTACAACCTGATACATATGTACAATGAAATAATCTGTCTCTGAAGATTTAAGGTTAAACCCCCGGAGTGGTAGACGTGATCGTGAGATGTTTGTCCTCCGTCAGTGGTAACGTACATTTCCTGGTAGACACGGTAAACAAACAACTCTCCACACGTCTTAAGTAGTAAATAACAAAGAAGAATCAAGTCAAATATGTCAATCAATAATATTAATTACTTAGTAGATCCCTTTTTTTTTAGTATCTATCTACAGATTATGTTGTCATTTTTTATTTACAAATTATGTTGTCGTCCTTATGCCTTCTTTGCCTCTGTCCCCCCNTTATGTTCTAGTGTGTTAATACAGTGGTTTATCGTTTCCTGACCGAAATTACGTTATGTTTTTTTATGATGAAATGACTCGTCAGAAATAAAAATAAGAATTGCACAAATATAAAATATGCACCAACATGATTAACACATAATTTGTATTTTTTGCATATTATTTAATTAATAGACAGTCACCGTAACGTAATTTGTTAGCGAAGAAGAAGGTGTTTTCATGCCCGCATTGCTGAATGAAATATTTGTCAGCTTGACATGGCCTCAAATATCTGTCATATAGATATTGTTTTAAACGTTTTTCTTTCAACTATGCAAATATATTCAATTTTTATTTATTCTAGGGGGAGAAAATAATTTGTAATCCCTTAATATCAACTCTTGGTTTTTTTTTGGTTTTTTTTTTAAATATTGTCGATCCCATTTTTTGTGTTACATTTCTGTACAGCTAACCAGACATTAAAGAAGAGGTGTTGAATGCTCAGCATGACGTTGAGAAAGGCCTATTACTCCCAGAGTAACAACGTGACATATCAGCTTATCGCCGGAACTATGATCCAAACACACTGATATTCATCATGTATTTTGTTTAAATATGCAATATACATTTTATAGATATATTATTTATGTGAAATTTAGTTGATTAGTTTTCAGATAAATTATGGTTCGTAGTTAAAGAAAACAGATGTTTTATCAAACCCGAATTGTGTTAGAGAGACTCTTTATTTGAAACAAACTTTTACTGCTGTGTTTTAATGTAAAACTCAATATCAATGCTATAGTTTAATAATGCGAGAAGAAATGGAAGTGACCCAAGACATTTTACTCCGATAGGGGAATCGAACCTCGGTCTTTTTTGTGAAAGGCAAGTGCGCTATCCCCTGCATCACCTGACAACCATCGAGCAAGGCTAACATGTAGACAAAACAGTGATAGAGATATTATGATATTATAGTCTCTTCTACTTGTACGGGTTTTATGAACGGAAATAGGATATACACCCCGTACCATATATAATTATTGGGTTGTAGAAACGTTTCCCACAGTATATATATTGTTCACTTGTATACTTTCTTCCTGTTTTCACTAAACGTAAGTTCCTTGACGTATGGAACCTTTACTGCTTCAAACCAAACATTTAAGAACACTAAAACCTCTGTAAACTATTGGTTTTTGACGAATGTTAACCTCAGACTCAAGTGGCGTTTCTTGAACGAAACTTATATATAGACCCAAGTTCCGTAACACAGATATATTGGGCTCAGATATTTTTCTAACTATTATTCTTTTTCTATGGCGGTAATTATGCCCTTCTGTGAAGGACAATCGGTTCTTTGTGCCTTAGAATTTTCGTTTGGAAATGCAGGAAAAACAGTATATATACTGGCCCAAAAAGAAACGTTACATTATTGGATCGATATGCATTAATTCACAGATATCAATAGAATTGCATCAATAAACTGACTTCAGTTTCATTTAAATGTTTCCATAAAATGACATCACTAATGTTTATCAAGCCTACGTAAAAATCAAATTCACAATTAATATCGCGTGAAAGAACCCCTGATGTCGACCTCAGTCTGACAATGACGTCGCATGGACGCGATAAGTCGGTACATAGAACTAAACAGGATCCTCCGTCACTCTTCCCAGAGGTTCTCAGTGGGAAAGAGATCTTGTGATAGATATGGCCAATCAAGGACATTGATGTTCAGATACCTTCAAGACTTGAAACGTGCCGCCATTTATCACAGTAGAACAATAAGTGGTACTCGGTTCTTCTCCCTGTTATGTTGAGCGTTCAGGCTACCGTCGACGATCACAAAATCTGTGCGCCAAATGCTTGATATCCCACCCAACACTATCACGCTTCCATTGCCTAAACGATCTTAACGTAACGTGCATTCGTCCTAACAAAGTTCACAACGCCAACGATACACTCGGGTTTCGCCATCTGAGCGACAAAGTAGATATCGGGACTTATATGAGAAAAAAACCTGTTGCTTCTGGCCTATAGACCGTCGTAAATGTTTTATAGCCACGGTGAGGCAAACGATACAGTTCGCAAGAACGTTCAGGTAGTTTTACCTCAGCCTACCGACGGATTAAAATTGAAGATAAATGCGATGGTGATTGGGGATGTTGGATTCAGTACCTGTCGACGTAGCGTAATGCATGGCCTCGCCGACCTTGAACGATCAGGGCCGTCGCCTTCGTAGCCGTTTAACTGCTCCATAGCCTGGCAATGGTTGTCCCGGCCACACCAAACCGCCGGGCGACCTCACCGTAACTAACTCTACCCGGTATCCTGCTAATTGCTCTTTCAAGGTTAACGCTTTCAAGCCTTGGCATGGCTGCTTTGACATGCAAACCAAACCAACGAATGGTTTTCCTTGTACTTACTAATACGGTGACCCGATATAAAGAAAAACTAGTCCTTTCCACACTTTGTATACAAAGTACATGTGCAAACCCTTCTGCGCATAAATCGAGCACAATGCTACGCTTCAATGGATGTTGTCGTCGTTTACATGACAAAGTTCAAGTCAATACCCGGGGAAAATATTAGAAAGCAATTATGTCTGTTTTATTTGTCAAATTAAATGATACAGTTACTCAGTGACATTGCGGTTAAGCCCAGTTTCTTCATTCTTTCTGGGTTATGATAACCTGCTTTATGCGAACATCATCATGCACTTAGCTTTCCCATATACGATTGCAAAGCAAGGTTAAGTTCTTGAGATAAGTGTTGTTGATAATTTATCAACAGATGATTAAATGTTTATCACCGACAAAGAACCGTGGTCGTTACACGAGTCAGAACAAATGTTGGTTTTGGATCAAAACGTTACCTGGATGATAAATGACATGAAATCCCGTTAAATCTCACGATAAATGGTCCCCTACATTATCAAAGGTTATTGGCAGAATAAGCTTAGTTTAAAAATCCAGGATTGACATTACAAGGATCATTTTTTTCTCTTGATACAATTTCAGTTATCAAAATATTGTCTATGCTTTCCGGATAACCATCACAATCGGCAGTTCAAATGATGTTGAATTCATCACATTATGCAGATTTAAAAGTAACCATGACCTATATTGAGATATTTGAGGTAGATACCTTGATAGTAAAGGCACACCTGGAGTATAATACCTGTAGACAATACAATTAATAAATGTTTGTGTCTCGAATGAATTCACATTGTATAAGGTGTATTGGAGTAAAGTTTACACTCATCCTGTGGTTTACATGACATCATTTTATAACTACTTTTTTTCTCTTATATACTTTTATTCAATCATGTATACAATTGTTACAACATGTGATACATACATACGTCCACATCTAATTACAAGAGTACATCTATTAGAAATGTTTGTAGTGGGATAAATATAATTTACCAATGGAAAAAGACGGAGTAGTCTCCCTTTGCTTACAATAGTAGATGAAAGACTTCAAGAGTAGCAATACAAAATTTGTTTCATAATCAAATCTAGCAATACTGACCCCAAAAAGTATTGATTGAGAATTAAATGGTAGTTCAATGCCATGTTTTATTTGTATAAGATTAAAAAATGAGGACCAATAGACCTTAACATAGCAACAGTCCCAAAATAAATGTAACGTTGTCTCCCTTCCATTTTTACAAAACGTACACCTTTCTGTTTTAATTAGTTTAACTTGCATTAATTTGACATAAGTATATAGAATATTATGCAATATTTTAAACTGGAAGTTCTGAAGTTTGGTGTCATCAGTAAGAAGTCTAGGAGATAAGTAGTAAGTTTGCCATGCTTCATCAGATATAATACCTTGCAAAACCTCATTCCATTTTCCTTGACTTGTTGGTTTTGTTTCATATTTATTAAACAATAATTTCTTGAAATATTTTGTTACTTTATCATTTTTATTAATAAATTCTATCATCTTACACGTAGTAATTTGTATCGGTACATTGTTTTGCTCTCTCAGGATCCGTTTCCAGTCCCTTGGTGTGGCATTTATCAGGCCGTAATACTCTACAAAGGTAGTATCAATATCATATTTTTCTATGAACATTTCAAAAGACATAAAACTGTTATTTATTACAATGTACGTCACGACATGTATAATTACAATGTACGACATGACATGTATAATTACAATGTACATCACGACATGTACACATACAATGTACATCACGACATGTACACATACAATGTACATCACGCCATGTACACATACAATGTACATCACGACATGTACACATACAATGCCATCACGACATGTATACTTACAGTGTACATCATCACATGTATAATTACAATGTACATCATCACGTGTATAATTACAATGTACGTCATGGCATGTATAATTACAATGTACATCACGAGATGTATAATTACAATGTACATCACGACATGTATAATTTCAATGTACATCACGACATGTATAATTACAATGTACATCATGACGTGTATAATTACAATGTAGATCACGACATGTATAATTACAATGCACATCATCACATGTATAATTACAATGTACATCATGACATGTATAATTACAATGTACATCACGACATGTATAATTTCAATGTACATCACGACATATTTAATTACAATGCACATCACGACATGTATCATTACAATGTACATCACGACATGTATCATTACAATGTACATCATGACGTGTATAATTACAATGTACATCATGACATGTATAATTACAATGTACATCATGACATGCATAATTACAATGTACATCATGACGTCTATAATTACAATGTACATCACGACATGTATAATTACAATGTACGTCATGGCATGTATAATTACAATGTACATCATGACGTGTATAATTACAATGTAAATCACGACATGTATAATTACAATGTACATCATGACATGTTTAAGTACAATGTACATCATGGATGTATAATTACAGTGTACATCATGGCATGTATGATTATAAGAGGCCCAGAGGGCCTGTATCGCTCACCTGAATACCTAAGCAATAATGGCAAAATATTCTCCAAATGAGATCAATGGAATATGCCAGACCCCAAGGCCAATCCTTGTAGCATATCCGTATTAGATTTTTCATGCCCAGTAATCTATGTATGGTTATGGGGTGGGGATCTCAACTGTTTCCAAGCTTTGACTCAGAAACTAGGTCCCTAGGGTTGTGGCCAGACCCCAGGATCAATTCTAATATCGTGACTGCATTTGTCTCTTTTTGCCCAGCATTTGTATATATAGTTTTGGGGTGGGGATCTCAACCGTTTCAAAGTTATGACCCAGTTGCCAAGTCTGCAAGGATGGGGCAGACCCTGGGGTCAATGATAATATCATGACTGCATTCGTCTCTTTATGCCCAACAATTGTATATATATTTTTGGGGTGGGGATATTAACCATTTCGAAGTTATGACCCAGGGGTTAAGTCTCCAAGGGTGGGGCAGTCCCCAAGGCAAACCTGAAAGCATATGTGCAATCATCTCTTTATACTCAGCAATTATATATATACGGTTATAGGGTGGGGCTCTCAACTGTTTCCAAAGCTGTGACTAAGAAACTAGGTCCCTAGGAGTTCGGTCAGACCCCCGAAATTGATGATGCATTCCATGTTATAATTCACTTTCTATTTTATTAAGATTTATGTCAAAGTATATAAAGAAATATTAGTATCGAACATGTAGTAAATCTAAGCTTATACATTAAGTGAAAACAATATTAAGGAATTAAACACAACGAATAAATTGATACATTTTGCATTCAAGACATAATTGATAAATAGAACGAAAAGTTAATGTAACACTGTTACTTATTGAAGTTTTTATCGTCTGTTTGTTCAAGGTTTTACATACTTATATTGACGTATTTTCATTTTTTGTTCCAAACACCCTATATACTATTCCGTCTTTGCGTATTGCAGAGTTATCTTCTCTTTGGAGCATGTATTGATTGTTACGTCATTGGTCTGAGCGAGAAAATTACGTCGTTTTCTCAAAAATTGAGGACGTTACTCTCACAAACAAGTGACGTAACAATCAATACCTGCTCCCAAGAGAAGATAACTCTTCAATACGCAAAGACGGAATAGGCTATATAGATGTTTTATCGGTATACAGTGTAAATTGATAATCATGAAACAAGAATGCATAAATTCAATAAAAATGAAGGATGCTTCGAAGCATTAAACTTATTTGACTTACCTGTAATTTGAGAATAAGAATTAAAATGGATTTATATTTGACATATAGCTATTTAAATCAAACAATTTGTAATAAATACTTTTACATCGTAAACCTTAATTACATGTATACTCATATACATGTGATTAATCCATGATTAAGATTATTTCTAGTTTTAAAACGGGCAAGTGACAAATTACACCATGAACTCGCAATTATGATTTAATTTTTCATTAAGACATAATTAAAATATATTAACATATTTCATTTTGAATGTCTTAATGGAGCAACAGACGAAGGTCTAATGTTTTTAATCGGTATATATATGCATGTAGAGTATATATTATAATTCACCTCGCCACGTAACTGTGTGTGTAGATCAGCTGACGTGACAGGATTTACATCCGAGTTTTACATGCTTATAATTAAAAATAAATAACTGTCCAGATAATTAAAAGTGCCAATTTTCTTGGTGATTTAATGCTCGTTTTCCCCCGAATTGAGTAAACTGGTGCGAAAATCCACACGCGAATATCTATTTATAGAATATACAAAAATGTCCATATTTCAGCAGTAACACATCTCTTTTACTTATCCAGATGCTTACGAACTTTTCGAAATAAAAAACAGAAATATCTAAAAACGCTTACTTTAGCTATCAGATGGCGACTTTTGTCTGGAACATGTTTGAGCATATTTCAGGAGCCAAGTTGTTTCTATTCCACAATGGAATAACCGGCACCTGTTTTGGCGTGGATTCCTGACATCATTACTTTTACTCTACACATCATTATTAATTTTATGTTGTTACCCTTTTTTTCAGTCTGCATCTTTCCTTGCACAAATCCTACATGTCTCATGTTAAAATGGAAAGTAACCGATCTTACTGGTTATACGCCCTGGTTTTGTTACAAACAATGTTATATATATAAATTATTTATTTATTTGATTAATTGTAGGTCACATTTTTAAGACGAAATGCAGGAAGATATCATGTTGAATGCGGTCGGGCATATTTTTGTTTCTCTACTGTAATAACAAGTTTTGACTGGCAAAAGGGTAAGCATTTACATTGATCATTACTATTTGCACAGTACCGGGACATTAATGAATATTGATGAGGTATTTTGGCTTTTAAACTGAGTGTGTAGCTTATACAATACAGTCAGAAGTACACTTAATACTCACGCAAGCCGAAGACTTAGTAAAATAAAATATAATTAATGGTCACCACGCGTTTAATGGATTACGTCAGCTTGTCTTAACGTTTATTTTTTTTTACATAAACATGATAATGCATATCGATATGATATTTCGTTAGCATTTAAATGAAAAATTCTGATCAATTTATTTCTGTCATTTAATTGGAATACTTGTGACACTATTCATACTATCTTATACAATATTCAAAAATCCTTGTAGTAAAATGTTTGTTAGCAAAATACGTTTTCTTTTTAAATTTAATACTTGAAATGATATTTGTTTCAGCTGCCAATTTCTGGATTAAAACAAAATGATTTTTAGATTGTGGCTTAGTATATTTTTGATACTTAATTACTCGCCAAGCTGTGACCCAAACAGACATAACTCCCGGGCTAACAGGATCCTCGATCGGATTACAAAGTTTATCGCCAGCGACGTAGCTGCCGAATCAAAGGCAAAACTTCTTGGAGTGCTTATGAACGTAAGTTTATATTTCATGAAAATTCCTCCATAGAGAGAGTGGTGTGTATAATTGTATGTATGATAATCCACATTCAGTCCGGTAATTCGATCGACAGGTTAAATATTCGGTTAGCTTGTGAAATATATTATATACAGGTTAAGTTTGAGGTTTGTTTGTTACTATGTATTATATACAGGTTTAGTTAAGGTTAGTTTGTTACCGTATACTATATAAAGGTTTAGTTAAGGTTAGTTTATTACCATATACTATATACAGGTTAGGTTTGAGGTTTGTTTGTTATCATATATTATATACAGGTTTAGTTTAGGTTAGTTTGTTACCGGATACTATATAAAGGTTTAGTTTAGGTTAGTTTGTTACCATATACTATATACAGGTTTAGTTTAGGTTAGTTTGTTTCCATATATTATATACAGGTTAAGGTTTAGGTTAGTTTGTTACCATATATTATATACAGGTTTAGTTTAGGTTAGTTTGTAACCATAAATTATATACAGGTTAAGGTTTAGGTTAGTTTGTTACCATATATTATATACAGGTTTAGTTTAGGTTAGTTTGTTACGATATATTAGATACAGGTTAAGTTTGAAGTTAGTTTGTTACTATATATTATATACAGGTTTAGTTTAGGTTAGTTTGTTACCATATATTATATACAGGTTTAGTTTAGGTTAGTTTGTTACCATATAGTATAAACAGGTTAAGTTGGATGTTAGTTTGTTACTATATATTATATACAGGTTTAGTTCTGGTTAGTTTTTTACCATATATTATATACAGGTTTAGTTTAGGTTAGTTTGTTACCATATATTATATACAGGTTAGTTTGTAACTATATATTATATACAGGTTTAATTTAGGTTAGTTTGTTACCATATATAATATACAGGTTAAGGTCTAGGTTAGTTTGTTACCATATATTATATACAGGTTTAATTAAGGTTAGTTTGTTACTATATATTATATACAGGTTAAGTTTAGGTTAGTTTGTTACTATAAATTATATACAGGATTAGTTTAGGTTAGTTTGTTACCATATATTATATACAGGTTAGGTGTTACTATATATTATATACAGGTTAAGTTAAGGTTAGTCTGTTACCATATATTATATACAGGTTAAGTTTGAGGTTTATGGATTTTCATTTGTTGGCCTTAGGTTCCATTGAAAACTGCTAATCAGATGAAATAGCCACATGATATTATGAAACTATTGTTAACGGTAAAATAGATGGTTAAGATTTATGCGTGGTATTGCTTCACTACTCATTGTTTTTAATATGTAATTGGTTTACAACACAAGGTTGTCAACTCTGCAGGCAACTATCTGTCCCCGGGGTTGCCCACCAATCTGTAGATGGGATATATTCTAGCACGGATTACGTGAAATACTATTTAAAAAAAAAAGTATAATCCGTTGCAGATAAAACGTTATAGATGGTTAATTTGCATCTTCAATGTCTAAAGATTGACATTAAGCACCAGCGATGAGTCATGAATAGACAACACGATTTTGTGACATTTTTGTTGCTTTTAAGATGTGCTTACTATTTCTTAAAAAGGTTCTTCCTCACTTATTAACTAACATTTGATGTCTAGTGGTTATTTTGTGATGTTTTCTGTGTTCTTGAAGATCAATTGTTTAACTTTTGTACGTGTACAATGTATATACATAAAGAATTATAATGAATAATTTTGTTTTATTCTAAGGTTTCGGACACTGTCCCAGTGACAAAAACTCCACAAGTAAGTATACTGAACAGTGACACTCTGTGATACAGTAATATATTTCCCTGTCAATATCAATGTTAACTGTGACACTCTGTGATACAGTAATAGATTCCCCTGTCAATATCAATGTCAACTGTGGCACTCTGAGATACAGTAATATATTCCCCTGTCAATGTCAATGTCAACTGTGGCACTCTGAGATACAGTAATATATTACCGTGTCAATATCAATGTTAACTGTGACACTCTGTGATACAGTAATAGATTCCCTTGTCAATATCAATGTTAACTGTGACACTCTGAGATACAGTTATATATTCCCTGTCAATATAACTGTTAACTGTGACACTCTGAGATACAGTAATAGATTCCCCTGTGACTATCAATGTTAACTGTGACGCTCTGAGATACAGTTATATATTCCCTGTCAATATCAATGTTAACTGTGACACTCTGTGATACAGTTATATATTCCCTGTCAATATCAATGTTAACTGTGACACTCTGTGATACAATAATAGATTCCCCTGTCAATATCAATGTTAACTGTGACACTCTGAGATACAGTAATAAATTCCCCTGTCAATATAAATGTTTACTGTGACACTCTGAGATACAGTAATATATTACCGTGTCAATATCAATGTTAACTGTGACACTCTGAGATACAGTAATAGATTCCCCTGTGACTATCAATGTTAACTGTGACACTCTGTGATACAGTTATATATTCCCTGTCAATATCAATGTTAACTGTGTCACTCTGTGATACAGTAATAGATTCCCCTGTCAATATCAATGTTAACTGTGACACTCTGTGATACAGTAATAAATTCCCCTGTCAATATAAATGTTTACTGTGACACTCTGAGATACAGTCATATATTACCGTGTCAATATCAATGTTAACTGTGACACTCTGAGATCCAGTAATAGATTCCCCTGTGACTATCAATGTTAACTGTGACACTCTGTGATACAGTTATATATTCCCTGTCAATATTAATGTTAACTGTGACACTCTGTGATACAGTAACAGATTTCCCTGTCAATATAAATGTTTACTGTGACACTCTGAGATACAGTAATAGATTCCCGTGACACTCTGAGATACAGTAATAGATTCCCCTGTGACTATCAATGTTAACTGTGACGCTCTGTGATACAGTTATCTATTCCCTGTCAATATTAATGTTAACTGTGACAATCTGAGATCCAGTAATAGATTCCCCTGTGACTATCAATGTTACCTGTGTCACTCTGTGATACAGTTATATATTCCCTGTCAATATCAATGTTCACTGTGACACTCTGTGATACAATAATAGATTCCCCTGTCAATATCAACGTTAACTGTGACACTCTGAGACACAGTGATAGATTCCCTTGTCAATATCAATGATTACTGTGACACTCTGTGATATCAACGTTTACTGTGACACTCTGAGATACTGTAATATATTTCCCTGTCAATATCAATGTTCACTGTGACACTCTGTGATATCAACGTTTACTGTGACACTCTGTGATATCAATGTTTACCGTGACACTCTGAGATACAGTAATCTATTCCCCTGTCAATACCAATGTTAACTGTGACACTCTGTGATACATTAATAGATTCCCCTGTCAATATCAATGTTAAGTGTGACACTCTGAGATACTGTAATATATTTCCCTGTCAATATCAATGTTCACTGTGACACTCTGTGATACAGAAACAGATTCCCCTGTCAATATCAACGTTAACTGTGACACTCTGAGACACAGTGATAGATTCCCTTGTCAATATCAACGTTTACTGTGACACTCTGTGATACCGTAATAGATTCCCCTGTCAATATCAACGTTAACTGTGACACTCTGAGATATAGTGATAGATGCCCTTGTCAATATCAATGTTACGTTTACTGTGATATCAATGTTTACTGTGACGCTCTGAGATACAGTGATAGATTCCCCTGTCAATATCACTGTTAACTGTGACACTCTGTGCTCCAGCAACAGATTCCCCTGTCAATATCAATGTTAACTTCCCCTGTGACTATCAATGTTAACTGTGACAATCTGAGATCCAGTAATAGATTCCCCTGTGACTATCAATGTTAACTGTGACGCTCTGTGATACAGTTATCTATTCCCTGTCAATATTAATGTTAACTGTGACAATCTGTGATACAGTTATATATTCCCCTGTGACTATCAATGTTAACTGTGACACTCGGTGATACAGGAATACATTCCCCTGTCAATATCAATGTCAACTGTGGCACTCTGAGATACAGTAATATATTTCCCTGTTAATATCAATGTTAACTGTGACAATCTGTGATACAGTTATATATTCCCCTGTGACTATCAATGTTAACTGTGACAATCTGAGATCCAGTAATAGATTCCCCTGTGACTATCAATGTTAACTGTGACACTCTGAGATACAGGAATAGATTCCCTTGTCAATATCAATGTTTACTGTGACACTCTGTGATACAGTAATAGATTCCCCTGTCAATATCACTGTTAACTGTGACACTCTGAGATACAGTGATAGATTCCCTTGTCAATATCAATGTTACGTTTAACTTTGAACTTTAAGTTAAGTCATTTTACGAAAAATTATGACCAAAACATCAAAAACTAATTACAACAGAATGTATGTTTTGGTTTTCACAATGATGTTATTATAAAATTAAAACAAGTAATAAAGAATGAACCGTGGGAATATATGCTCGTCAAAGTTTGTTAATTTAGTGAAATTGATTATTTCAAGGTGAAAAAAACATTTCTTTGAGACCTTTTTTCTGATATAATATATGAATATATATTTATTTGTAGATATGTTTTGTTGCAGTTAATTTGATGTTAAACCGTTAATTGACTGGACTACATGACTTTACACAAGGAAGCAACGTATCCCAGTTCTATCATTAACGTCACAAAGAGATGAATTGCCGCTATTTCATTGGACGTTTTTAGGGGATTTATACTGTCATACATTTTCGAAAATAATATATAAAAAGAAACATAATATGGTACGGAAATCATATAAAACATTGTTTTTAGAACTTATGTGTAAAAACAGCGGTACTACATACGCGATACAGTGTTCCCCTTTCCACTTAGACACCAGTAATGTTTATAGTATCAATAAAATGTTGTATACACTGTGTAATAATTGTACATTTCACAGAAACCAGTCACTGTCCCACCTCAATTGGTGATTGGACCGGGTGGTAAAGGGGGAAAAGCTTCCTCTCTAGAACCGATAGACCAGCTCTTAATGGATGCTGCAGGTATGGTACCAGGCATGTATCTTTAATACATAGTAGATATCGGGTGCTTTGTATAACTGAATTCAGTTAACATAGATTACTTTTATCATAGAAATAAACTTTTAACATGTTACTTGTTTTCACAAGCTTGTATTTTTTCGTCTGCAGAGCTTTAAACATTTATAACTAATAATTCTTAATTGCAAGTTAAACGTAGTGCATTGTACAAATTATTTATTAATCTTTCATAGCATAAGCTAACTAAATCAAAACGGCGTATGGATATATACATATTTCTATTTTGGAAATAATTTCAAACCGATGAAATGATTGATGAAATGACATTTGTTAAAAAAACGCTGCCTCTTAATCCATTGAGGCCCACGAATTATATCTATGTTTTTTTCTTTATTCATTTTTTGAATTACATATCCGCATGCATTACATGATATAGAATTTCGAGTTGGCTGTTCCAAGAAATACACATGAAGCTAATTTTAGAACATCGATAACGTTTAGTTAACAGCGAGAGATCTGATGGATTAACATGACAGTAAAAAGGTGTCGATTTAAGGAATGACCAACATTTTGTTTTGGTATATACGGTATATACCAAAACAAAACCTTGGGCATTCTTAAAAAAATATTTTTAAAAAAGTAGACAAACATGTTTTAAATGCACAATAAAAGGTTTATTTAATTTGTACGTAAACTAAACAATTGCGCTAAAATAAAGATGCGTTGTAATTTTGCATTCTGAAGTGTAAAAAGTAGTTCCGTCATCAATTGTTTTTCTTTATAGGTAAATACGATATATACCAAAGAATTTATGGGGGAGATAGGCAAAATTAAAGTATTAATAAATACGTGTAAATACGTAGATGTTGTGATACTAGAAACATAAAGAAAAGGTGTCCCTTGCATTACAATAAATAAATGACAGACATGCCCACAGCTAACTGAGATAGTCATTACGTAACACAATACACAAGTAAGTGTTGATGGGGTCAAAAAATAGTGTAAGATAGTGTAAATATCACTTGATTGTATATTCGTAAATATGCATATTGCCTTTATCCTTAGATACTCAGATAAACCGCGTGCACGGATACATTTCAACTGAAACCGTTCTGAATTCCATCATAAATATTACTCAGCTGCACACTGTGTTGTATCTTTGAGCAAGATGCTTTACTCCGCTTGTTCCAGTCTACTCAGCTGTAAATGAGTACGTGGTTTGGCAGTGGTAGGATTGTTGAAAGCTAGCTGTGAGCGCCTAAATAGCAGCACCGGCTGTATGTCCCCCATGGAAGCGAGAAAGATATATTGGGTGATCATTTGTGAACCTCTTGGAGACGACCTACGAACTAGGTTTTGATAAAGCGGTATCAAAGAACCTCGAACTATTATTATTATTATTGAAAAGATGCATTTCAGTCTTCAATATGAGGGTTTAGTCAGGTCTTATTATTTATACCGGTTTATAGATATAACACATACCCTCTTATCCTTTACAAGAAGCCATTTCTATTTGGTATACTCAAAAAAGATGTTTTTTAAAAGACTACATAAAGAAGTATAAAGTAAGGGGTCTCCTCTAATAAAAGTCTTAAATATCTACAAATAAATAAAGCAATCCACGCCCCTGTGGTACTATGCAAATGCATTTTCTTTATCAATGTTTAATATCGTATTATTAAAGTAGGAATATTCAGCGATATAACTGCTGACCTAGTCCGGATCCTTTAACTATCGAATCATATCACTATTATTAAGTGAAATTTAGATAAAACATACTGGACAAAACAAAACGACGTAAATTACTTTCTCTTTAATATTTGTATTTCGTCGTAACGCAATATCCTATGGCAGGTGTTAATTATGCATAGGATCACAGTAGCCTTCTAGCTTCACATTAGAGGGGATTTCCCTAAGGCTCAATTAATACACTGTAAAGCAGCATACTGGGAAGCTCGGGGTCGTTGGTTCGATCCCCGGTGATACATTAATTGTAGCACACTACTCTCTTGTAAAGCTAGGGTCGCTGGTTCGATCCCCGGTGGTACATTGTAGCACACTACTCTCTTGTAAAGCTAGGGTCGCTGGTTCGATCCCCGGTGTTACATTGTACCACACTACTCTCTTGTAAAGCTAGGGACGCTGGTTCAATCCCCGGTGGTACATTGTAGCACACTACTCTCTTTGAAAGCTAGGGTCGCTGGTTCAGTCCCCGGTGGTACATTGTAGCACACTACTCTCTTGTAAAGCTGGGGGTCGCTGGTTCGATCCCCGGTGGTACATTGTAGCACACTACCCTCTTGGAAAGCTAGGATCGCTGGTTCGATACCCGGGGGTACATTATAGCCACTACTCTCTTGGAAAGCTAGGATCGCTGGGTCGATCCCCGGTGGTACATTGTAGCACACTACTCTCTTGTAAAGCTAGGGTCGCTGGTTCGATCCCCGGTGGTACATTGTTGGACACTACTCTCTTGTAAAGCTAGGATCGCTGGTTCGATCCCCGGTGGTAAATTGTAGCACACTACTCTCTTGGAAAACTAGGGACGCTGGTTTGATCCACGGTGGTACATTGTAGAACACTACTCCCTTTCCTTTTGCAATACAAATTCGTCAACCTTAATCTACATTGTCCAACATACACGAACATGACCTACGCCAACAGGAAGCATGGCACACAATGTGGTTATGAAAGATGTATTAAGTCCACATATATATAATAAATTACTAATTCATATACTGTAGATAGTAGACGCTTTTATAATCCCGTGTATGACTCACGTTTATATTTAATGATAGAAGGTGGAAGACACTGCTGGTGAATGCTTTAATCCACGGGGTGTACTCTAACCTATAGGCCATATCTACTTATTTTGGGTAGGGGTACGATTAATTATATAACACTTTACACATTATTAATGTGAAATTAACCAGTAATAATCAATATTTCAGATTGTATAATTAAGAAGCATCATATTCCTTTTCTTCGGTTTCAACAGTAGCTTGAAATTCCACCGCTTTATATCCTAGCCTCACCGATGATTCCTAGAAAGAGGAAACTTTGCCATACTGAATCTGTTAACGAATGTTATAGGTGCATCCCATGCGTGTGTTACGTTTATCTAATGTGTACTGTTTACTGTGAAAGTATAAATGAAAAGGTTCAAACTAACTTACAAAACAAAATGTCAACATTTCTATGACATTTAAATATGACATATTATGTAATCTATTTCAGAACCAGGTACGGCGTTTAATGAGCCGGAGATCCTGGCGGACTCGGATGTCGTGAAATTTGACGGAGACATACTAATGAAGTTAGAACAATTTGCAAAGATACAGAGAAATGTGTAAATATCAAACCTTTAAAGAGTATTTATGCAATGTATTACACGACGTTTTATGTCAAGAAATAGTCCTTTACAATTAAACGGATTAAGGGATCCCTATCTTACTGCAGGCGAAACACTAGAGATACCACTGTCTTTTTTGTTTACTGAATAGCCTTCCCTTAATTATGTATTATATATAACTGTAACGTCATTGCACCCATATCGGGACAGTACTCAAAAAGGGAGCTTTATTGGCTGCTGATTATCGTTACATTGACAATGTAAAGGTAAGAGTATTTACCAAAACAAACCTTTCCTGATTTACGTGCCGTGCGACGCTATTTATTTGGATTTCATTTTTTAAAGTCTATTTTATCAAAACTAATGCTAGTTTGGAGAGACATTTAATTAGAATCCTTGGTGACTCTAAAATATTTCAACTATGCATATTTTCTGCCGATATTGATCATTTATCCCCAAATATTCGCCAATATTTCATAATACAAATACCGAAGTGGCCCTTTCAGAGTACTGTTACGACGGTTCAAGGGCCTACGTAACCGTGATAGTATTTTGTGTTCTATTTATCGAACCACGCGCCCGAAATATCAACTGATAAAAGAAATGAAAAGTGGATATTATCATTTTTATGAAAAATGAAAATAAATATAATTGGAACTGAAAGTATGGTAAAAACAACATTGATATTTATCTTAAAAATGTCCAGGTTTAGGTACAGTGACGTTAGCGTAATGGGGCGATGCCGCTTTCGTTGAACAGAGAGCTCAATTGGCTATAGCAAAGGTATGGCAATTTTAGGTCCAGAGTTCGAACCCTGCTGTAACTGCTTTTTGTTTCATTTTGTTTTTTCTCAAAACACCTTTGTTGGTAGATTTTGTTTATTTTATTTCCATTATTGTTTTATAAAACTCCCGAAAGGTCTGGTTCTTTCCAAAAAAATATTGATCAAAGCTATGGTCATGTCTGAAAAGAGTTTTAATCTAAAACTATACACCCATTTTATCATAATGTTTCAATACTCCTGCTTGGATTCAATACGCCTACTAACGAGTCTGCGGTTTGTTTGTACATCAACGTCAATTTAGCCTATGAATACGTCAGTGGAGTGCCGGAAGTAGTCGTACTTACATATTGTGTTCTTCTTTTATTTTAGAAGTTTACGATTGAAATCAGCATATGTGTATATGTTATAAGGTATTAACCTAGCAATCAATACCGAAAAGGTATTTATCTTATATTCTAAGGAAGACTGTTTCGGCAACTGCTACTGTGAAAGACGTGCACACGTCCAATATTTCAGAAATTATAAAAAAATGATTTATTGGTAAGCAGTTCATATCAAATTTGTCTCATGCAGGTTTATACCCCATAAACCGCTACACACCAGGATTCAGTCCTTCACAAACTCACTAGGATCACCTAAATCAAGTTATTATATATTGCAGATAAGGTATAAACAAAATATAAAAGAAATAAAATATGATGATTTGATTTTTTTTTTTTATTTTAGAACTTAAACAATCGTCTTTTTTTATTCGAAGGACATTGAGTCTATTTGAAGAAGCGCTAGAGAAAAACTTGGAACAAGAAAAACTAAACATTACTTTACTGGAATGGATCAACTCGCTAGTGCCACGTTCATCGTCTCGTAAGGTGCGAGCAGCCAGACGGGACCCGCGACGGTTCTGGAGGAATGGCGTCGTGCCTATCAGAATCGACAGTAACAACTTCCGTAAGTAGGCCAGTGTTCCAAAGATATTCGTTAATAATTGTATTTAAGCAGTTTTACATACAAAAACAGACGCCTGTTTTATAACAAAGATCTGTGAAATAGGAACCGTTGTATGCAGAACTACTTATCACGACCATCGTTGGGAGAGAGAAATACACTCCTGATTTATTAATATTTGTCTAAATAAACATTTATTGTTTGTATTATATATAAGTGAAAGCAATATGATCTCTATAGACGGGTAGTCTTTGTAGGGGGTAGTAAGGGATCGTTAAAGACTGGTTGATTTAAAGGTTTGTAACATTGGAAGTCTATGTATAAGACAATAGGACAAACTTTTTCAAGTTTACTATGTACAAGGGCACATGTGTTGTAAGTAATACCTTTTGGGACGCTATGGTATTTTTTCTTCTTAATTTTCCCTACCAAATGATACTATGTTGTAGGGTAAGGGTTAGGTGATACTATGTTGTAGGAAGTGTCCACAATGATACTTTGTTGTAGGAAGTTTCCACAATGATACTGTGTTGTAGTAAGTGTCCACATTGATACTTTATTGTAGGAAGTGTCCACAATGATATTTTGTTGTAGGAAGTGTCCACAATGATACTGTGTTGTAGGAAGTGTCTACAATGATACTTTGTTGTAGTAAGTGTCCACAATGATACTATGTTGTAGGAAGTGTCCACAATGATCCTTTGTTGTAGGAAGCGTCCACAATGATACTTTGTTGTAGGAAGTGTCCACAATGATACTATGTTGTAGGAAGTGTCCACAATGATCCTTTGTTGTAGGAAGCGTCCACAATGATACTTTGTTGTAGTAAGTGTCCACAATGATACTATGTTGTAGGAAGTGTCCACAATGATCCTTTGTTGTAGGAAGCGTCCACAATGATACTGTGTTGTAGCAAGCGTCCACAATGATACTTTGTTGTAGGAAGCCTCCACAATGATACTGTGTTGTAGGAAGCGTCCACAATGATACTATGTTGTAGGAAGTGTCTACAATGATACTATGTTGTAGGAAGTGACCACAATGATTCTTTGTTGTAGGAAGTGTCCACAATGATACTTTGTTGTAGGAAGTGTCCACAATGATACTGTGTTGTAGTAAGTGTCCACAATGATACTTTGTTGTAGGAAGTGTCCACAATGATACTGTGTTGTAGGAAGCGTCCACAATGATACTATGTTGTAGGAAGTGTCTACAATGATACTATGTTGTAGGAAGTGTCCACAATGATTCTTTGTTGTAGGAAGTGTCCACAATGATACTTTGTTGTAGTAAGTGTCCACAATGATACTATGTTGTAGGAAGTGTCCACAATGATACTTTGTTGTAGGAAGTGTCCACAGGACGAGTCCACAATGATACTATGTTGCAATGATACTTTATTGTAGGAAGTGTCCACAATGATATTTTGTTGTAGGAAGTGTCCACAATGGTATTTTGTTGTAGGAAGTGTCCACAATGATACTGTGTTGTAGGACGAGTCCACAATGATACTATGTTGTAGGAAGTGTCCGCAATGATACTTTGTTGTAGAAAGTGTCGACAATGATACTTTGTTGTAGTAAGTGTCCACAATTATACTGTGTTGTAGGAAGTGGCCACAATGATACTGAGTTGTAGGAAGTGTCCACACTGATACTATGTTGTAGGAAGTGGCCACAATGATACTGAGTTGTAGGAAGTGTCCACAATCATACTATGTTGTAGGAAGTGGCCACAATGATACTTTGTTGTAGTAAGTGCCCACAATGATACTATGTTGTAGGAAGTGTCCACAATGATATATTGTTGTAGTAAGTGTCCACAATGATACTTTGTTGTAGAAAGTGTCCACAATGATACTTTGTTGTAGGAAGTGTCCACAATGATATATTGTTGTAGTAAGTGTCCACAATGATACTGTGTTGTAGGAAGTGTCCACAATGATACTTTGTTGTAGGAAGTGTCCACAATGATACTGTGTTGTAGTAAGTGTCCACAATGATACTTTGTTGTAGTAAGTGTCCACAATGATACTATGTTGTAGGAAGTGTCCACAATGATACTTTGTTGTAGGAAGTGTCCACAATGATACTTTGTTGTAGTAAGTGTCCACAATGATACTTTGTTGTAGTAAGTGTCCACAATGATACTTTGTTGTAGTAAGTGTCCACAATGATACTTTGTTGTAGTAAGTGTCCACAATGATACTTTGTTGTAGGAAGTGTCACAATGATACTTTGTTGTAGTAAATGTCCACAATGATACTATGTTGTAGGAAGTGTCCACAATGATACTTTGTTGTAGGAAGTGTCACAATGATATTTTGTTGTAGTAAGTGTCCACAATGATATTTTGTTGTAGGAAGTAATCACAAGAAGCGAATAGCTCGATCGATGGACAGAATTTCGGAGGCAACATGCATTTGTTTTGACATTATTACAAAAGCCGAAGCACTTGCATATAAGCCGCACATCAGAATAATCGACGGAAATGGGTAAGTTTAAAATAAAAACCACGAAATGAAAAACAAATGTTGTTAGATGAAATAAATAGATAGAACATCGCAGCAAGTCGTTTCCATGTTACAATGGTTAAAATCAGTTTCAATAGGGTTATGGTTTGGGTTAGGTTTAATGAGTTATGGTTAGAAGAACATGTTTAACATACTGCAGCTAAAGTATGTAGATTATGGACGTGTTACTATGACTGCTGTCGGAAACACGGTCTTCTTGAGGCAAACATTCTTTTTCATGATCCTGCATTTCAAATTAAATTTTCATTTCAACCGTTTTGAGAGAAAAAAATCCTTTGTACTAATTGCATTTGAAACATGCCAATCATTGACATCATAATTTTTATTAAATTCTGTAATTTTCACAAAATGTAAAATGAAGATAAATGAAATATAAAGCAATTGTGTAATTATTCAACTTTTCAGTTTGTTGTACTCTTTCTGCATTAAATAATGTATCCTGTTTATTGTTTAATTTTAGGTACCATCCAAAAATTAAAAAAACCCACACAAACCCCGCTTATTGTAACGGGTTATATATCTTTTATCTAACGTCCTCGTTGTTCATGAAAACATCCTTAAGTCAAACCAATTACAACAGCAATAAGGCAATTCAACATTATGCTGGTATTGAGTTCTGGATTCTGAGTAGCTCAAACTATGTATGTATGTATGTATGTATGTATGTATGTGTGTTTGTGATTCGTGTGAGTATATATACATGAAGAATTCCTGAATTTTATTTTTTTGTGTACATGTACCATATTTTACACTGCATTTCCCAAACTCTCTTCTAACTTCCCCTGTAATTTGACCCTACTCACGTCACTATCCCTAAGCTATAGTTGTTAATGTTGGTTACGATGAAAGGTAACATATTTATATAAGTGTATTAACACGTGTTTCTGTCTCCAATTCATTTATATTCAATCCTGTTTGTATTACACACATTATGTGAATAAAACAAAGTTTAAACTATATATCTTTTGATATAAATCAAATATTTGTTTGGCTAAATGTAATTTTATCAGCATGCATAGAGTTGTTCATTAAATCACCTCCACATTATTGAATAATCATTATGTGAAAGTTTCAACAAATCCACCTGGTAAATTGTGAAATAAGGCACTTCTTTAATTCAAACGTAGATATATCAGGTCATACAGAAAGGGCAAGAGACATCGCACCCGTTCCGATTTCAGATTTCAGATTTTATTTCCAACACTCAGACACATGAAAATGTGTAACATGAGGTACATGTACATGAATTCATATGTTAAATTATGACAGGATGGACAGGTGTATGCATGTATATGAAGATACTGATTTTCATCAGACACTATTTTAAGAGAAATTTTCATCAGACACTATTTTAAGGGAATTTTCATCAGACACTATTTTAAGAGAATTTTCATCAGACACTATTTTAAGAGAATTTTCATCAGACACTATTTTAAGAGAAACGAAAGAAGACCAACTAATAAAAATATTAAAACCGAGTCTCAACAGGCCACAATAAAATTTTACGCCAAATTGTCCACCAATCTTGTGTACTTCGTGACGTCACGTTACTATTGTAGTGTGATGACATGTAATTGTGACGTCACGACGTTGTTCTCTTTTGAATAAACCTGAAGAGCCCTGTGAAGGGTGAAAGCAGCTAGTTTTTTAGTCGGTCGTTAATTTTATTTTTTCTATAT